ATCTAGAATGTCCAATTTGTAAACGCACACATGACAAGGATCAGCGGTGGTTCGGTCGCGTGCGTTATGATGGTTCGTTCATTGTGAAATGCTTCCAGCAAAATCGTGACGAATCAGGGAAAATTTTCAATGACCCATCTATTGCAGAAAAAATCCAGCAAAAAAATAAAAATAATATGTGTCTTGACGGTACCTATGGTACCCTACCACCCATTATACATAAGGTAAAAGGCCCTAAGTTCCCAAAGCCCTTCTTAGAAATGCCGAGTTGGGCTAAATGCGATTCCCCTCTCACTGCGACAGAAGTTTATAAGGAACAATATGTAAAACCTTTACCTAAAGAGGGTGATGTATATGTGGGTTCGCCTTGGGAGACGGGAAAGACTTATACTTTAGAGCATCTTACTATTCCTGAAGCTATAAATTTGCTCGCCTTATCTACACGACATACTTATTCTAGCGCAGTTACAGTAAGACTTAATCTCAAATCCTATTGTGATATTGAAACCAAAGATATAAATCTCCCGGATCATCAAAGAGTAGTATGTCAGATAGAAAGTTTACATCGTATTATTAATAAATGCAAATGTGAGAAAAAATGTAAATGCCTTCCAATACCATATGACTTATGGCTCGATGAGGCGGTGTCTGTGAATAGCCAAGCCCACACTCGCTTAGCGGGACGTTCACGAGAAAATTTATATAAGTTAATTCACAATGCAAGGCGTATTATTGTTATGGATAATGATTTAACTGATCTCAATATAGAATGGATTAAATCGCTTCGAAATGGCAAGCAATTTTCAGTTATCCATAACACTTACCAACCCCAGAAAGGTAAAACATTCCGCTTAGCTCCTAATAGAGAAACTGTGTTAGCTGAACTTTGGGAATGGGCAAAAGTGATGTCCTCATTACCTTATGAAGAGCGAAAAAGTGCATCACTAATTTGCCATCAGAGAACAGATGTACAAGGTATTGCTCGCGCTCTGATAAGAGATTTTCCAACATTGCACATCAAAAGATATCATGGTAAATCTGATACAGTAGAAAAGGCTTGTGATTTTAGCAATGTGGAAGAGGCATGGAAGGATGTGGATCTTGTTGCATATACGAGTACATTAAAAATAGGAGTCTCATGTACTAACCCCAAGTTCGAGCGTGCATTCTGCTTTTTCAAAAGTTATATAGAAACGAATGCTGGGACAAACCAGATGTTATTCCGCATGAGATGTATTAAAGAATATACATGCCACATCGAACAAAGAGCATCGAATCTCCCAATCACTGAAGAAGGATTATTCCACTGGTTGTTAAAAGCTAAACGTGAATCTCTCCCTCAAGAACTTCAGAATAGAGGAATATTTCCAGATGTAGAATCCATTATTCGAAATAAAGACATCCCAACAGTTCGATTGTGGGTTGCCCATACATTGGAAAAATTCCGATCTCGTCATTTATTTGGGTGGAGAATGGTAGATTTTCTTAAAAAGGCAGGTATGGTAGTTTCTATAATAAAAGCCACTCCAAAAGCTAAAGATGATACCGTGACATTAACTGAAATAGTAAAGGGGTATTCTTCAGCTATTAAAGCAGAGGAAATTTCAGACATTGCTAACACCAATATTCTCAATCATGAGATGGCCGAACACCTAGAAAACAAGCCAAGGAAGACATTAGAAGAAATGTATGCGTTAAACCGGTACCATATTGCAGATTGTTATGGAGTATCACCTGAATCTTTAACAAAGGGATTTATCACAGAGTATGGTAAATATGATCATATGAAATGGTTCAGAAACCTCCGGAAACTACGAGATGCGGGTACTAATAATGAGACAGCGGTTGAGGCCATTATCCGTGAAGATTATAGAAATGATAGACTAACCACTGCAACTCAATCAGAAAAACATCGAATTTGTTTAGAGATACTAAAGATTTGCACACCTGTTAAAGATATTGATGATAGAAATAAATATAAAACTGACATTGTTGAAACACGGTTAGAATCACCTGAATCTATAAAATATCTCCAAGAATTAGTTCCTAAAATGGCACGAGTTTTTGATAATACAGATGCATCTCGCAGTGCTAAAAAATCTGGTTTAAAATCTCTTAAATCAAAACTTGGTCTATTAAATTCAGTGATCTCTACGACTTATGGATTGAAATTCAAGGCTACAGATAGACATCTTAGGTACTACTGCCTGGTTGGATCATTTGATAGTGAAGATGCACCCGAATTACCAGCATACCAAACAAGTGAAGGACCCTTTTATGAAAATGGTGAGGATATGCGTTATGGGTATAGTAAACTCTCACCCGATGAAATAGAAACATCTCCCAGTTCTGATATACAGTTGCGTCAAGATATGTTTGATATCTGTTAATATATGTATCTATTTAATAATGGCCTATGATATATCTTACAAAGGGGGTTTTTGTGGCGTTTAAAATTGATACTTGTAAAAAAAATACCCTATTACGAAGACCATTTTTGTGATGTTAAAATCAGGATCTATATAATTACGCATCAGCTTCTATTCTCTGCGCCTTTTGTCTCTCATACCAATTTCGAAAATAAACCCTCTTCGCATGCTTAGGACAGTATCCCGTCCCGGAATTGTTTCCTTTTCCGCAGATACCACAAGGAATTTTTGCTAAATTTTTTGCCACATTTTTTTCATATAATTTCCAGTGCAACGAACACCCTTCAGGTTGCCAGCAACTTTTTCTGCAAATCGAACCATCTCTTTTAATATATGGACAGGTAAAACGTCTCGAACTATCTCTTTTAAAGTATTGATAGGTTGAATTCCCCATTCAAAGTGTTTTAATATATAACGTATAAAAAACCGTTTCACTTTTTAGAATATATTTAATATAAAACCAATTTAAATCTTTTCAGATTACAATAATATATTATATTCGAAGTATTGCTTATAACCACTCATATTCCATAAAACTCTGTATAAATACTAACATATTTTTTACTCATATTTTCATGTATAGTATATAAAAATCAATTTAAACTTTTCCAAATTATTTTGTAATATTATAATCAAACATATATTGATACTATATACCACAGCAATACTACACAAAAATGTATACCCAAGAGCCGGAATATACTAAAGAAACGATTACTGCTGAGCAACTATCCAAATTGACTAATCGTTGGATAAAGCCAAAAGTATATAACCCCAAAACGAACCGCATGATTGCAATCGATGGACCAACATATAATAAATTGATACGTGATGGATATGTGCATTGGAAAGAAGAAGGACTCTTGATTCCTCCATCACCATTCGAGAATTATATTAGCGAAGCAAGCACAGACAATTGGTTATGCAAAAAATAAAGGTGAAGTAGAAGAACCCCGACCATTTCTCTCAATGGAAAAAAATCCAATACGAGCAAGAGAATTACTTATCTGGATTCAGAGATCAATACCGGACAAATTTCCCTTCTTGCTAAAGGATAAGGATGGAAATACTAATGTTGTACCACTTAATCAATTCTTAAGTCAGCATAAAATTACCTCATTTATATTAAGAAAAATAGGAGCTGATCATGCTTCCAGAGTACATGGAGGTAAGAATGATACTGGCCGTCAACATTTACGACAATTGGCATGTAGGCATAAAATAGGTCATGCTTCATCAGTTGAACATTATGGTGTAATGAATGACAGACCAATTATTCCAGCACCTAAGCAAGAGAATGATGAAGTCGAGGATATTATAGACTTATACAATTATTAATTATGCTTCTTTGCTTTTGCCACATCCACAGTAAAATCTTCACCATCATTAGACGATTCAGACCCAGATGAAACTGATTTTATTTCTGCAATTAGTAATTATTAGTTATTTTTTTTCGGTTGAATATATATATATCACATAATATAACTTACCATGAAAGTAAAGATAGTTAAAGCTAAAGTAGGGGAGCAAAAAGTTAATTGTTGTCTTGAACCAGGATTTTTGGGGATCTCTATGTGTACTGATAAACTTCTCAAGAAAATCGGTGGCAAAATTAGCAGAAAGTTGACTTCTGAAGAAAAAGATAGTAAATTCGTCAGAGAAGAAACCACAGCTTCACTTGGATTGGCCATAATCCCAATTACCTTTACTTCTAATGTAATAAACAATAACCACCTTAGTAATTATGAATCCATCACAATTCCGACTAAAGTACTTGTAGAAAAATATGACCTCAAGATGCCTAATTATATCCTGCTTGGTAACAATTGGTTCTATGGACGCAATAACCATGGAATCCAGATGTATTTACCGGAAATAGTAACAGATGCAAAAAATGCTTTTGTAAGAACCACCTTACGCATTAAGGACCTCAGTTGGAAAGTTGATACAACTAAAGCTAAAAAGAAGCCAAGGGTTAATGTATCTGTTAATAAAAGAGATATCCCTGCATCTTCTGGTTCAGATACCTCCGATTCGATTACTTCGGACAGCAATTTAGATAGTTCTTCCACATCTAGTTCGGAAATAGAAGCAATACATAAGACCGAAGGTGTAAGGAAACGCCCTATTCTAAAGCGTAAAGTAAAACGTAAAGTTAATTATCGGGCTTTATAATAGAGCTACATATAGTATTTCTGGTACACATTAACACATCTGATTTTATATAATCATAAGGCATGAGATATTTTTTCGATTAAAGATATATAATAATACATTACTTGAAAATGGCGCAACTATTAGGGAGCAATGATGATGCAAAGCATCGAATCTCCGATTCCCCAAAGGGTCTAAATATTTTTAATTTACCAGAGTTACTTGAAAACATATTCAGTTTCTTAGCCGAGAATAAAGCACTCTATCCTACTTTATTCGTCAACCACTTTTGGTATCACTGCGGTGCTCCTATTCTATGGCGACGCATTGAGTTTTTTACAGAAAAAGATTATCAGAGAGGTCGGCATGGTCGTAAGATGCCTCGAGTTCTTACTCGGCAATTGATAAATTTTAAAAAAGTCATGTGTGGAAAGATAAAGCCAATCTATTGCGCCAAGATGATATATCTCAGATTGGAAGGTTTAAAAATCAAAGATGCGTTGATTAGTGCGATTCTACGCTCATGTCCAGATATACGTATTCTCATTCTTGATCGAAGTGATGGTTTCTCTAACATACCAATTATAGAAATTGCAAGATATTGCCCAAAGCTATTACATCTGAGTCTTAATTCATGTATATGTCTCACTAATCGATGTATCACTGAAATTGCTCACTCGTGCCCAAAACTTAGACATCTTGAGCTTGGTAATTGTTCGATTGGTAATGAAACTATCGAGGAAATAGCCCGCAACTGTACTAATTTGAAATATCTTAGTTTGGAAGATGTAATGGGATTAGCGAAGGAGTGATGAAAAAACTTGATTCAAAAATTAAAATCGAACATCCAGATTATTCTGATGATGAATTTTCAGATTCAGATCTACCTCCACTTGTTCCAGTCTTTGCAGGTCCAATAGATAGAACAGATTTAATTTCTGCAATCAATGATTTAATCAGAGAATTGGTTCTATGGTCGAAAATATAATGATGGTGAACTCCAAACATACATACCCGAAATTGTGACCGACACAGAGGACGCCTGGGTGAGAACTACCCTACGTATCAAGGATCTTAAAACCAAGAAAGGGGGAGGGTTATAGTATCTGTTAATAAAATAATTAATGATGTACATAACTTTACTTCTGACTCCGATACTTCTTCCGATAACGATTCAGGTAATTCTTCCACATCTAGTTAGGAAATAGAAGTTACACATATGCAAAAGAAACGCCCCATTCTAAAGCGTAAAGTAAAGAGTAAAGTTAATTATCGAGCTTTGTAGTGGAGCTAGTATCCTGACATATGTAGAAAACTTCTATGCCTGGCTGAAAATTTGTACGAATTGAGTATGGATTTCTTCCCATTCTTTCATCAGATCGTCTAGCCATGCAGTACTTAAACCACTCTTTAGTATACTGTGACGTAATAACTCTTCACCAACCAGCCTATCCCGATCTGTTAAAAATTTACGATATTTTCTGGTATCTTCCTGCCTTTCTATTCCACCACGGTAAAAGCGTATATCTCTCTCCAAGTCTTCACGGAAGCATCCCATAGTCCACCTGTTTTTCTCAGCCTCAGTAATGACAGAAAATTTCTCGGGATCAAGGTCATTTTCAACAGCATATTGATAAAGGCGGGT